TGTCACCACACGGTAAATTCAATATTTATGGGGACAGTTCTTTTTTATTTTTATATTTTCTGCGAGCGGTCATATCGATACTGTGTACAATAATGTTGCAGTAATAAATTTTAAATTTGAGAACACGAGCAAAAAAAGAAATATATGTCGCACTTAGACGAAGTAGAGGTCTCAGTAGACACAGCTGCCGAGTTGTTTTTGTAGGGCGGTACCGGCCTGCGGGGCAGAACTAGCCCCCCTTGAGGGGATACGGTGCCGTTTTCAATTTGCTTTATTTGTGCTTGTTTTAATGGCGCTCACTCTCCTTATTGCTTGCGCGGACGACCAGTCAAATTGCTTCGTGCCCGAGCGCCTTTTGATTAAAGAGGAACAAGCACTACGGAGCAAGCGTAAAAACAAAGCGTTTGACTATTTGTGCACGCATTTGTGAGTGAGAAGGAATCTTAGGTGACACATTAGTGAAGTACATGAAATTGACACTTGAATTTTTTCGCTGAAGGAACTAAATTATAGTCGGGGACGATAGATGGAAAGCTATTAATAATCTCAATTCATTTTAAATGTAAAGTATAGGAAAAAATATAACTTGCATTTTTAGCAAGCGGCGTTGTATTTCCCATAGTATCATGGAAAAAGGAAAATAAATAATTTGAAACATGTACTCATACTAATATATTTGAACAGCATTAGTGTAGTATTTACAGAAAAAAAACCTCGACATTTGACTGTAAACATTCGAATGTCACAAAAATAACGAACTCCAAACAAATAGGGATAGGGATACATACAGGCAGGATTCGGTGCTCATGTAATTTAATGAATGCTCGGTTCATTGACGTGACCGCATGTGTCAACATACTCGTAGTGAGCCGCGACTGTTGTCGCCATGCATTGTCGCTACAACAATCGGATGAACTTAATTATCACGCAAACAGGGGTGTTCAACCTGATCGATCGCATTTGTTTTTCACAGAACTGTTAATTTCAGAGCCTTTTTTTCATTACGTAAAATTCGCAGGAACAATTAGAAGGTTTTTTGTATTTGATGCAAGGGAATTACGATACTCATAACGTTTATGATTGTAGGTATATTCTTTCTCTTAGCATATCGCCCGATACAGATAACTTGTAAACTCAAAGAAAAACACTTAAAACGCATAGATTTCATAACTTAGAAGTAAAAACAATTTATATTATAATATTTTCTTGAGATCAGTTTCACGTAATGGCCAATCTTTTTTACAAACACTTTGGGACATAAATTAGATATAAGTATGATTAACTCCCACTAGGAAATTTTTCCTGAGTTCGAATTTTGACAAATTTCCACTTTTCAAGATCTTTAGAATCGTATTCTATACTTTTGAGGAGGATGCCTGATGGATGATAGGTAATGTACGTTCGTGGTTAATTTTCGCAACGTATATTCGTTGCGCAATTATGTAATAAGAACCTGAATAACAAACTTTTCATAAAAATCGATGCAACAGTTTTTGTCATGAATACTGAAGAAATGGACAGACATTCACAGTTCACACTATGAACAAAGCAGTATTTATTAATGTGTCAGGTTTATTCTTTTTTTATCACTTCCTACCGGGAAGATTGACATACGAGTCAAATAAAGAAGGCCACTAATGTGTTGAAATCGTTGCGTTGATTGTAGGAAATGATTAGTGTAATAATACTTCTAACAAAATACTATCGAACATGTATTCATTTTCAGCGAATTCACTACTGCTAAGTAACAGTAGAAGGTATGGTGATATGAATCCATCGTAGGTCATAACTATTCTTAGAATCGTTAATACAAATCTCGATCGCTTATTTCTATCGAAATTGATATTAATGACTAACTGGTACCCGGCGCGTTGCTGCCGCAGAAGTATTATGAAAATATCGTTTTAAATTTGGAAGAGTTATATTGTTTAATTAGGAATGATAATACATTAATTGAACTTGAATGATATATACCTATATAAATTTAAAATAAATTAGTCGGTACAACACGGGCGCCAACTACTGTAAGTTAATTGTACTATGCCTATAACCTTCGCGCAAAGGCAAGCAATAAGTTGAAAAAGTTATACCGCAATCTGATGATCGGTATGGCAGCGCATAAAATACGCAAACAAACATTAATTTTTATATATTAAATAAAACTAATTTTACGGATTTTATCGCGTATACTAACTTATTTTATATTCCCGACGTTTCGAGCACATTACAGCATGGTCACGGGGGGGACTGAGGTGTATGACGTCCCAATGTCATAGTTAACCACGGCTACGTCGAGATTAGAAATTATTAATTTTTGTTCCGATCTACGCAGTATGAACTTACAGTATCTTGAAGTCTTGCAGTTGTATGCTTGGGTTGGGATTTAATTTTATTAATTATGGGATCCCAAGCAGATGGTTGGGTCATACACCTCAGTCCCCCCCCCCCCCCCCGTGACCATAGGTGCTGGAAAGTGCTCGAAACGTCGGGAATATAAAATAAGTTAATATACGCGATAAAATCCGTAAAATTAGTTTTATTTAAATGTGTAGTTTTCGCGTAAATATAAGAAATCATTTTATATATTAGTTTCATTGATTCATTACAGCCTGTCAAAAGTTCACTGCTTAACAAAGGCTTCATCCATAGGTTACCTCATTGGGAGTATATTTTTGTAAAACTGAAATGATAAAACCAAATGGAAGCAGCTACTATAGTCCACATACACCACTTACCAACTTCAAACAGACAAGGTCACAGATGCCTTGTTACCTCTGAGGACTTCGATGGAATGCCTTACAGCCTGAAATTATACTGGTTCTTTATAGAATTGGACCGGAACACAGCAGTGCAAGTACTGCCATTTTGCGGCAGAAGTAGGTAAAAGGGTGGTACCTACTCAGGTGCACTGCTGGGCAGGAAAGGAATCCTACTACCTGTTAAATAATAGTAGATAACAGATATTTGCTATAGTTTGGTTTGGTAACCGCAACTTTTTATAATTTTGAGTTGCCACCTAAAGTTTCATCACCCTCAGTCGCCTCTTACGACACCCACGGGATGTTAAAGTGTGGTTGGTTATCTTATGCTGCCACGGCATAATATATTAGTTTATATTCTCTATTATAATTTTCAACATTGAAATACGATAACAAAATGAAATCATTGTCATCTTTAAAAAATGTCCCCACAACGCATCCCCGAGCGACCTAAATGATGATGGCGGGCGGCGTTTCAATACGCTAATTAATTTGAACGCGGTACACAGAGTACTTTTCAATAAACTGTCACAAGCCGAGAGCACTAATTGGATGTCCACACTTTAGGTCAAAGTGTAACTAAATATCCATGTCCTAAAAGCCATTTTGCGTTGGTATAAAATGCAATAACGTTAACTCTGCTCTCCTAAAAATCGAACAAACCACCTCTGTGTAACTTTTATCATGTACTTTCAAATTAAGCTACATTGAAATAATAAAACATAATATATTGTTTTATAGAATAAGGGCGACAAACGAGCGCACCAAACGAGTAGTCCAAATCTACATTTATCATCGATTAAGAATCAATATGCAGATGCGTTAACACCTCTGAGGACTAAGATGGAATGCCTCGTATCCAGTAAAAAGGGTTTCCGGTTCAAAACAGCAGCATTAAGCTGTATTTTACGCTGGTATTCTGTGTGAGCGTAGTCATTATCATGACTACGCTCTTATACTATATATAATACGAGTATGTTACTAATCATTTGTTTGTAATTTTGCTCATTATTTTATCAATAACGTATTATTTTTTTTAATGATTTGGATGAAGAGTGTACTTGTTTCACTAATATTTATTTTAATTTATTTACTTTTAAATCCCACCAAGTCATCAGGGTATAATATGAATTAATAAGGTAAAGGGACATATACCTGCACTAAATTAATTTGAATAAAGATTCGAAGAAAAATTAAGAAAAGAAATCCTGTCCCCGCTAATTTCAGAGATCTTGAAAACGCATTATAGGAAGAATAGATTTTTTATTAATAACTTGATTAGGAGTATGCCAAGAAGATTGGAAGCAGTTCGAAGATCTAGAGGAGGCAACACTAAGAACTGATTACAGCCCAAGTTATATTCTTTCCTAATTATGAAAAAAAAATGTTATAAAGTATATATTTGTACTTTTATATATTTATATTTTTAAAAATATATATTTATATGTACATATATATTAATAATTATGTATGAATTTATCTTATCTATGTACTTATACACCATTCTATATTTCTATTTTATGGCTTTAATAAAAATAATATTATTTTTGTCGCCAAACCAAACACGTTTTTATTGTTTTCTTGCAATCCTGTCCATCCAAAGATTGTCTGGAAGAGATCGCTTTTAGCGATAAGACCGCCCATTGTACCACATTTCTTTTTCTCATTTTTTGTTAATATTTATGTTAATTTTTGGCGTACAATAAAGTGTTATCTATCTATCTAAAATGTTAAGTACAAAAATGTTACTTTCATATAATTTTTTTTCTTAATTTAGTTCCTTTTTGCCATATGATCGTTCGTTTTTCGTCGTTTGCAAAAATCAAATTAAGAAATTTAATTGTCACAAATATCCATGATATTCTGTTTTATACCCGCTTTTATTGCTTTCCTCTAAATTTGTCAATGAGTTTATTTAGACGGCATTCTAGTTGTCGCCTTGAAATTGTGATATTCCTTCGTCTACTCAAAGGAGCAGGAAAATATAATTTTAATAAAGAAAGAATCTAAAAACAATAAAATAATTTCCACGTAAAAGCTCCCAAGACGGAGTTTTAATTTATCAATACACTTAATATACCTAATTTAGAAGCTTTATGTGGAAATTTATTGTAGTCGTTTCAATTTCGGAGTCCGTTTTAACATTTTATCAAAAGTTAATTTTTTTCGAAAATCGATTTTAATAGCCAAATAGATATTGAATATACAATAGCGAAAATTTTTATATCATACAGATCTTACCTCAACCAATGTCGTTTGGCGATGGCTGTATGGCAGCAGATCGCATCATACTGATCGGCAATCCACACGATCAGAATGATGTAGAAGGCGGTGGTGGTATCATTGAAGAACTCTGACATTATCGCCTCCATACCTGCAACAATATAAAAAGATAAGTTAAAACAGCTATAAAAGACCCGACCGTCGCACTATCAAACAAATAAGTGCGTGTTACTAATTTTAATACATACAAATTTCTGTTCCCTGTTTATTTTGGCCGTGTATTGAGGCGTAAGAGAATACACTAACCCATATCGTCCCGTGAGTGACGTAATATGCGACAGAGGGAAATAATACAGGCGATGAGCAACACTATCTTCCTGATACCAACTGAAAATTCTTCAATGTATTCATTACAGCCTATCTAAAGTCCCCATCTAAACATAAGCGTCCCCCATAAATTGTTCATAATTCAAACTCAAATTAATGGAGATCTTAGTATTTAGAACATACATTTTTTTATGTATTAATATTTAGAAATAATTAAAATCGGGAAACGTTCAATAATTTATTCTACATAGACATTTTTATGAAATGACATGACGTTTGTAATAATTGCAACGGAAACAAAATCTTATGAGGCTCATTAACAAAATGAAACTAATTTTTAGGTTTAGATTTGGTTGCAACGTAATTGTTTCTTTTCGGTGTCACTCTCATTTACTGAACATACTTGTTATAATATACGAGTTGCTAAAAAAAAATTTATTAAACGATTAAAGAAAGAAAGAAGGATATCCTCTAGTCGTGCCTGAAGAAGATTTACATCAATTTACTTCAAAAAAGAGACTTAAAACTTATTATACGAAATATCTCTTCATATATTTTTACATCATTAGCTTAGGTCGATAATATATCCGTACGTAGCTTTTAAAATTAAAAAAGTCAAGTAAATGACATATTATATTGGTAAAGTATTTGCAAATATTTCAGAAAAGCATTAACTGGCTCACTCTGAAAAAATCTTATGTCGATTAGGTTTAAAGCTTGACAGGATAGGCAGAAAGGAAAAAAATCCAAATATACTTTATTATATTAGCAAAATGTGCAAGTTAAAACAGTTTATATTTAAATATAAACTCATCGAGCTGGTAGTTGTAGTTATACCTATAGATTAAAGTGGAGCTTGGCATCGTCGTGGGATTAAATATCGCGGGTCGTGTGTGAGAGCGACACTGGAGCCGTGTCGTCGGGTGTCGGGGTGTTGGACTAATTAGGTGTCGGCAATTACCCGCTAACGGCCGAAATCCGAGCTCGACACCGCCAGCTTATTAACCACATGCAACAGCGACCGATTCATTCACACCCAGTCTCTGAGACGATGCATTACGTAAATTTGCAAAGGTACGTGGAACCACGTAACTGAGCAAATTGAGTCGTTATTTTAAAGTGCAAAATTATAAAAGTAATAAAAGGAATATTTCTCAGTAACGAGTAACGACTTTACGTTATTCAAATCTTACTTTCTATAAAAAGTAAAAACCAACTACAAAGGTGTGAAAAGAATAAAATAATTTCCGCATAACAGCTTCTGAAGTCGATGGACACAGTGTATAGAAGTATTAAAGGCCCCACTTTTATATATTATAAGTTCAATTTTTTCGCCCTTTTGAGAAGACTAAGGAATATTACAAATTAAGTTAACAACTAGAATATAATCTAGATAATCACATTACATACTTCAAGCCTCTATTTTCCCACGCTTATGGTTGGAATTTTTCGTCCAAATTTATGTAGGACTACCTGTGAAGCATAACATATTTAAGAAAAAAAAAGAATCATTTAATCGATTCATGACTAACGAAGATATCGCGTAATATACATGAAAAAGAACGTAGTGGAATATAGAACTTCCCTTTTTTGAAGGCGATTAAATGGAAGAAGTAGATAAATACAAAATAACACCCAAGTAGATGAAATATGCAAACCTATAGAAACAACGCTTCACATCGAAGTGGCGCAGGACAGCTTCTCCGCAACACAAACTTTTTAACACGCTTTTTTAGTTTCGCTTGTATCTATTTGTCGTAGTAAGATAGTTAAGGCCGTGATATAGTTGTATCCCTAGGGATGTAGCTATATACCGTCATTTATGAAAGCGGTTAATAACTATTGTTACGGCCCCCAACTGCCCCTGCAAAGGTCGCCTTGGCTAGGGCCCATAGTAGCCTCCTCGACGGGCAGCCGAGGGTTCGGGCCCAAATGGCCATATGGACAGTTGACCTATCATACTACACAATAGGGAGAAGGCTAGGTAAATAAATAGTACGTACCTGGATCCGAAGCTAAGACCGCCCCAAGGCTCGGTCAGGTCGTAGGTAGGTGTAGGTGCGTGTGAGTGGTGTTTTAGTGGTGTGTATATTTATGTGACCTAGCCCAGCTGAGGTGACCTGCAGCGGCCTGGTCCCATGCTGCCCCACAATGCTGCATCACTCGAGCAGGCGTCACCAATGGACAATTTCTTTCTTCATGTCACTATTTCAGTCTATCGACTTTATTGTACATTTAAATAACTTCAACGCTACTAATTCCACGTTCATCGTAAAATCAAACACGTGATACCCGACACAAGTAACGAACAGTAATTCAAAGTTCCACATTCATTCCGGATTCATTTATCACCAAATTACAAATAGGGAACTAACGCGATCTCTTCACGAGTCACAAAGTTCAGCGTTACAAACAACAACTAAACTCCTTGTACGATATTAAATACTACGCCGCAATAAGAATTCAAAATCGACCTAGCTGACGAGTAAACTAGCTACAAAGTCAACACACAAAAGGCTCTTAACGCGAAGGCACAGTTAAACAATGATTTCCAAAACAATCAACCGGGCGACGCCCTCGAAATGGAATGCGCAGTTCAAATTCCAGACCGTATCTCTACTCGGCGCGCGCGCAAGATTCCACGTCACACAAGCAAGTTAAATATTGCAAAATGCACTTCAACACGCAACCACTATATAATTGGCGCAATTACTTTAAAACGAAATTACTTTAATCCGTCAAATACAATACAAGCCTCTTGTCACGGACTTTCAACTTAGACAAACTAAACCGAGGCGGTTTTCACGAAATCACAATTCAGTAGCGAAGTAACGCGCACAAATTCTAAAAATCTAGACAATAACCCAAAAAAAAACAGGTCGCGCGAAACATCTGCAGCGGTCACCAAAATACGCTAATGGCCCCCACCGCTGCCTTCGAGCTACTGTCTCTCTTAGCCTAGCGCCAGAATCACCGGAGCTGGCACACTCGCCTCCTCTCGTCGAGGGCGATTGGATGCTGTCTCAAATGACCATTTTTGGGCCTAAACAACTATCTTACTCGACTAATCTAATTGTAGTTTCTTACTAGACCAATCTAATTGTAGTTTGTTTGTAATTCGTTAGTCAAAACTACTTTTGGCTTAAAAATTTAAAATTTTTTAAATTAAAAAATAAATTCTTTCAATATTTCATTTTATAGCCAGCCGCACCTTAACCAACATTCAAAAAAAGGAAAATGAACAACAACACAACAGAAACGTCAATGTCACGGAATTTCAGTCAGAAAATCAGTCGGTTTACAATTATTATAATTATTTCACTAGATTAATCTAGTAAGATAGTTATGAAGCGGTATATAGCTATATTCCTAAGGATATAACTATATCACGGCTTTAACTATATTCCTGCTAACATATCTGTCTATCTATATAACTGAATATTTTAATGTAATTGTCACCAGCTTGCAAACGGCTGACTGACTGGAAAACTTGCACTCGTAATAAGGACCGATGACACAATAATTTAATAATCCTTGTATTCTGATCAGGATTAATAGAATCATTCACGATAATTCTCTCTAGAATCATCACAGCTCAAGATCAATGTGTGTTTTTAAGATCATTAAAATTATAATATTATTTCCTGAACTATGGTAGGGAATTTACCGCAACGGACAAAATCACGATATGACGACACCGACTCATAGAATGTATCGTATTATGTTCAGTTATTCGAGGAGTCAATTAAAGTACCGACTGAAAACAGTGCTGTGGTACTCCACTAATATCACTACGGCGGGATCCTCTTTGACATCATGTTTTTATTTTCTCTGGATGTTGTGTGTTTGTGTTCCTTTCTTTCTTTCTAGTTTCTATACTGGATCAGTCAGGGGACATTATTTTTGTAATTAACCGACTAAAACAACATTTTTGTAGAAAAAGAGTTTCAAAAAAAATATTGGCTCCGGCTGACATTCGAATCCATAGCCCACGGCATATTAATCGAAACACGCACGTGTTAGATTATTATTTTAGATTTATTAAAACACGTAGCATTTCTGTATGAAACCTGAAAAAGATATAATGACATGTTAACGCCTGATCCCGTGGTACAGTAGTCAGTACTACTACTAAATAAGGGTGTCAAAACACTACATACACCGCACCGTGCGTCATCAGTCTAACGTATTTATTGTATCAGTGTCGGGCCTCATCAAAATGCAAATAAGGACGAGACCGCGGCGCCGGACAGTTGTCCGTGTTATATTGAGTTATTTTCTCCTACAATCTAGATTTCTCTGCTGAATCGTGAATACTTGTGAAAACTCACACACTATATTACAGCCTATCAAAGTCTACTGCTGGTAAACATAGTCAACACATGGATATTTCATTATATTAATAATATGTAATTACATACCTACGTATAAACATTAAGAGAAGAAAAATAGAATAATTAGCACCAAGTTGTAAGAGTAAGTACAATAAAATTAAAATATTAAAATTGGAAAATACTAAACCTTTGTATCGTTATAGGAAAACGAACATGAGTTTTTACTAGGTACACGAATATTTCGGGACCTATTTTGAATTAAATATACTAATAGGCTTACTGGCTTTTCAAATTATAAAAATACTTTAACATCGTTACTGCTCATTTGTTACCGTATGATCAATGCATATGTTTAAGAGCTACTTGTACAGAAAGGGAGGGGAAGGTAGGAGGGGTAGGGCGGTATATCGCTTAGCGTGGGTGCCTAAGGCAACGTGATGTTCGCATTTCATTAATTTTTTTTATATAAACTTTTATACGTGGTAGAGCC